CGGTATATATATGAAAAAAGTTTAGATGTTTAATAAGGATCTCTCTGAACCTCTGGCGTACCTCCACCTCCAGCGCCATGGCCTTGGCTGATGGAAGCCAGGCTTCCATGATAGCAAAATTGAGGGTTTCCCAGAACTATACCGACTTTCTCGACGAGGTCGTGGAGTCTTGTGGCAAAGGGCCTAGTGCCTCCATAGCCATTAGGGTGGTTCGGGTCTCGAGCTACCTTCGCGGCATAGCTCAGGGCTAACTGGCCGCGTCTGAGTCGGAGGGGAGGTACTCCTGACTCCACCTCAAGACGCTCGATCCGAGTACATTTCAGGGCTCCAACACACACACGCAAACAAGCATTCTGCATAGCATCCAAACCTTCAAAACTTGTTCTCGATGCTGAACCATATACGATTGACCCATAATCTACTTTAGACCTAATCAGGGCTTTATATATCATTAGCAAAGACTGTCTATCAGCTTCCCATTTATTACCAGAAATGCACTTTAATAAATTTAGTGCTTTTTGACATTTATTCTTTAGCTGGCCAATATGGTCTTTCCAATTGAGTCTACTATCAAAAAGTAGACCAAGAAATCTAGCAGAATTTTGGATTGGTATTGGGTGGTTGTCTAGAGTTAGCCTGATGTTCGGCTTTTTCCTATGTGAAAAAATTACCCCAATACTCTTTCTAATGGAAAACTTAAAACCCCACTGGAGGCCCCAGTTATGAATCATATCCAGTGCCAATTGGATGCGATTTGCTGAGAATTCTGCATTATTGCTGGAGTGCCATTCTGCACAATCATCAGCGTACAGTGAGTATTTAAGATTCCGAGGAGGAGCTGGTAAGATGTCATTTATCATACATAGAAATAATGTTGGTGACAAGACACTTCCTTGTGGGACCCCGTTTGCCTGGACAAAAATGTCCGAAAAAGTGACGTTGTCAGAAAATAATTTGACAGCAAACGTTCTGTGAGAGATGAAATTTTGAATAAAACAAGACAAGTTTCCACGTAATCCAAAAGCATAAAGTTTTCTGAGTAGGCCATATCTCCATGTCATGTCGTAGGCCTTTTCTATATCTAAAAATACTGAAATCAAAAAATCTTTTTTGGCAATGGCCTCTTGAATATGACTGTCCAGTTTTACTAGCTGATCGAGAGTTTGGCGTCCCTTTCGGAAACCGCACTGCTTGACCTTGCATAAGCAACTTGTCAACGCAATTGGGCGGTAGGAGATGGCAAGTTTGGGATTACCCCCTCCTTTCAGTATGGGAATGATGTGGGCAAACTGCCATGAGTTTGGAAAAGTGTGGCTTTTCCAAATTTCATTGTACACTTCTAGCAACTTAATCATGTCACCATGATTAAGATGCTTTATCATCTCATATCGAATCTCATCGGGGCCTGGGGATGTTCCTCTACAGGCTTCTAGGGCTCGGACAAGCTCATCTATGGTAAGGTCTTTATTGTAATCAAAGTCATCTCCTGTGGCAAAGTGAATTGGTTGCAACTCAGCCGCTTCCTTGATGGGCAGGAAGGCGGGATGGTAGTTTGCTGAGCTGCTTGTATGAGAGAACTGCCTGGCGAGTGCATTAGCAATGTCTCTAGGTGAATCGATGTTATTGCCCTCGTCAATGATGTTTTTAATTTTGAATGATGATTTTTTCTTGTTGATTTTATTGATTGTGGACCAAACCTCTGATATTTTTGTATTGCTATTGATTATAGAGACAAAGCTCCGCCAGGAGTCTCTTTTTGCTTGTCTTATTACTCTACGAGCCCTAGCTCTTGCTTGTTTGTAATTGCAAAAGTTCTCATTTGTGATGTTATTTTTGAAAAGCCTGTAGGCCTTATTGCGTCGGCACAGCGCCCTGCGGCAATCTGGTGTCCACCATGGAACTCTATGCTTAACGCTATCTATCGAAGTTTTAGGAATGGATAGCAAAGCTGCTTCTATAATCGAATTCTGAATATTGTTTACTTTATCATCAATGGTCTCTCCAACAAGTTCGAGCTTGATGCTCCTTGTGAAGGCGACCCAGTCTGCTCTTTTTAAGTTAAATTTAGGCGCTGAAGGCATTCTCACTGTGTCGCATGAATATTCAATCAAAATAGGAAGATGATCGCTTCCCAACGAGTCGTCAATGGTGTGCCACAGGCACTTAGCTGCTACTGATGAAGAGACCAGTGATAGGTCAATTAGGGTCAAATTACCGGAATTATCGTCCACCCGCGTGGGACTACCATCGTTCAGAAGGACTAAATCAGACTCATTAATCAGCTTAACTACTTGCTCACCTCTACCATCCACCCGCAGGGAACCCCATAACGTATGATGAGCATTGAGATCACCTAAAATTACTTTATTTTGTGGCAGACGTTCCTGAAGAGCAAAAAGCTCATCATAGATTATCACTGTATCAGGTGGACAATAAACTGAACATATAGCCAGATACGTGCCATTAATTTTTACTTTGCATGCGACAAACTCCAAAGTAG